TGCTCGCCCGTTCGCGAGCCGCCCCTTCTGTCCGGAACCGGGTCGGAGGAGCCCCCCGCTGCCTCTTCGCGCGACTCTGTCCCCTCCTGGCCTCCCGTGTGAAGGCAGCGTGCGGGGACGAACCCGGTCGCCGTGAAGTCATTGTTCCCTTCCGCGGTGCCGCTTGCGGTCCCGGCACCTGAGGCTGTCGGCCTCCCCGACTGAAACTTTGTGGGGTAAATTTGAAAATCCCTCCGACTCGGGAGCAGAGATTTGTCACTATCTAGGGTTTGTTTTTTGTTTTTTTCCAGTCGAGTCGCTTGTTTTATCTGCATGACGTTAAGGACGGACGTTGGGATGGCCGTTGGCTGCGGCCCAGGTTTGGGCGTTTCTGTCGGGCTGTCCTGAGCCTTGGTCCGTCCGTTCGTTCTTGAAGGAGAAGTGACGGGCGAGGGTGGGCGTTGATGCACATGATATTTGTCATTTGAACTAGGCGTTTCCTTTTTTTCAACTCCAAAATCTCCACTTCTGCCTGCAGCGTTCGAGCCCCTGGGTGGGGCTGGGGGCCAGTGGAAGGCTGAGGCTCGATCCCTTTCCTCCGAGCTCCTAGCCAGGTGGGACATGTTAGACGACACGAGCAGCGGGCGGGGCGAGGTCCTGAGTGTGAAACCAGTTAGCTTCAGGTTTTCAGATGAGAGCGCGGGCGAATTTAAAATTCTCAGGTGATCATAGTTTTTGGATAACTTCAATAGCTAGTATTTATTGAAGGCTTGCTGTAACCAGTCGTTGTGCTAAGCATTACCTCATGTAACCTTCATTTCCACCCTGTGAAGTAAGAACTGTTATTTAACCGTTTTTTAAAAGAGGAAACCGAAACGGTTAAATAACGTGTTCGAGTCACACAGCTAGATTGACCACAGGTGGAATGTGTCTAGAGCCCATGAGCTAGCTGCATACAGCCTCTGCTGAAAAACTGAAAACCAGAGAAGCAAGATAGAAACGGTAGGAAGAAAGTCAGGATCAGGAGGAACTAGAAAGATGTAAAAGTACAGTAAGTTCTCACTCAACGTCGGTGGGTTCTTGGGACTTTGGCAAAACAACGTCCTGGCAAACCTCATACTGCGGGTTCCTTTCCAGAACTCTGCAGTGAAGCGAGTCGTCATCTTGCTGGTGGAGGGTCGTGCCTTCAATTTGTTAACAACGCAACACCTGTGAAGCGCAGTTGAGCAAAGCACAGTGAAATGAGGTAAACCTGTGTAACGAAACCGGGTTTCCCACAGGCTAATTGATACAAACAGGAGTTCGATTCTAATGGCATCTCGTCAGTCAGCCTTATAGTGACACAACATTGAAAGAGACAAAGTTATTCCAGGACCTGCTGTAATAAAACTCCACTATAAGCCAAAGGCAGTTACAAAAATTCTCCCCTCTAGGCTTACTGCATTTTTAGAGAGTTGGAACTATGTATTATTACCAACTCTCGAGTTATGTTTTTAAGCCTTTATTTTAAGCCGGATTTTTCTCTAAGCCTAATGTCAGTAAGTCATCTTGGAGATATTTCCTTCCCAGGAGATCAGAGAAATCAGAGGCTACTTCTGAGTGGCTGGAAGACGTTTCATCTGTCTTTTCTATTTGCAGTCTGTTATAAAACACCCATCTCTGAATGTTTATTTTTCAACACATCTGTATCAAGCGCTTACCCTGAGCAAGGCTCTGTTGTGAGCTCCGAGGATACAATGAACATGAGAAGCAGAAACTCTCTTCTCATGGATGTTACAGACGAGGAAAGGTGGTCACTGAGTAAATGTGAATGCTCAGTGTTAGGAAAAGGGGAGCATAGGACTCCTAACCTGATTTTGAAGTGGGGCAGGGGAAAAGGTGTGAGCAGTTAAAGATGAGAGCTAAAGAAGGATTAGGAGTTAACTAGCTAAAGGGAAGATGAGGACAAAGTATTTCGGTAAGGAGAGTAGCACGGTTAGACCTTGAGGAGCCGAAAGGATGGCCGAAGGCTGAAGTAGGAGAATAAGCTGAAATCAACCAAGGCTGAAAAGTCAGGCAGGAATCTGCTACTACACAGCAGATTATCACACCGCTTAATGGCTTGAAACAAACGTTTATCTCACGGTTTCTGTTGGTTAGGATTGCAGGTGAGGCTTAGCTGGGTGCCTCTAGCTGAAGGTCTCTCTCGCCGTTAAATCAGGCTCTTTAGCTCCTAAGGTCTAGTCTGAAGGCTCAGCCATGGGGGTAGAGGGAAAGTTTGCTTCCAAGCCCACTCATGTGGTTGTAGAGAGGTCTCTGCTACTTCCCAGGAGGGCTTCCCCACTGGGCTGCCTCAAGGCACAGCAGCTGGCTTCCTCCGCGGCAGGAGAGCAAGTGTTAGAGACGGAAGCCAGTCTCCCTGACCTGACCTTGGAAGTAGCTCCCTTCACTTCTGCGTGCTGTTTCTTCCAAGGTAGTCAGTCCAGACTACATTTAAGGGGACGGGTTTTCACAAGGGAGCAAATATCAGGAGGCGGGGATCACTGCGGATTGCTTTATTTTTAATGGATTAATTTATTTGTGGAATAATGGACATAACGTTACTTTCAGGTGTACAACATGATTCGATACTTGATGTGAAATGATCACTAGTTAACATCCGTCTCCACACACAGTATTTTTCCTGTGATGAGAACTCTTATTTATGATTTACTCTCTTCGCAACTTCCGAATATATAATGTGGTATTGACCATAGTCCCCATGCTGTACATTCACTCCCAGGACTTACTTTATACCTGGGAGTTTGCACCTTTGGCCCCCTCCTCCCATCTCAGCCCCTCTGCCCCCTGCCTCCACCAGTCTATCGTCGGTATCCATGAGTTTGGATTATTTTTTTTAGATTTCACACATAAGTGAAATCATACTGTTTGTCTTTACTTCACTTAGCATAATGCCCTCAAGGTCCATTCATGTCACAAATGGCACAATTTCATTTTTATGGCGGAATCATGTTCCGTTGTATGTATGTATATGTATATATATATGTATGTGTGTATACATATATACACTGCATTTATTTTTTATCCGCAATATGTATATATGTATGTGTGTATACATATATACATTGCATTTATTTTTTATCCGTTCATCTACAGACACGTAGGTTGCTTCCCTGTCTTGGCTATTGTAAATAGTGCTGCAATGAACATGAGGGTGCATATATCTTTCTGAGTTATTGTTTTCATTTCCTTTCGATAGATACCCAGAAGGGGGATTGCCGGATCACATGGTAGTTCTATTTTTAATGTTTTGAGGACCCTTCACACTGTTTTCATCATGGCTGCACCCATCTACATTCCCACCAGCAGTGCACAAGGGTTCCCTTTCACCACATGCTCACCAGCAGTTATTTCTTGTCTTTTTGGTGGTAGCCATCCTGACAGGTGTGAAGTGATGTCTCATTGTGATTTTCCTTTGCATTTCTCTGATGATTAGTGATTTTGAGCACCTTTTCATGTACCTGTTGGCCATCTGTATGCCTTTAGGAAAATGTCACTTTAGATCTGCCCATTTCCTAATAAATTGTTTATTTTTTGGCTATTGTATGAGTTGTTTTTTTTTAATATATTTTATCAGATATATGATTTGCAAATACTTTTCTCTCGTTTGGTAGTTGCTTTTCAGTTCATTGATAGGTTCTCTTGCTATGTGAAAGCTTTTCAGTTTGATGTAGTCCCACTGCTTTATTTTTAGCTTTTTTTGTGTTTGCTTTTGGTGTCAGATCCAAAAAAATCATTGCCAACATCCATGTCAAGGAGCTTACCGCCTGTGTTTCTTCTGGGAGTTTTACGTAGGTTTCAGGTCCTACGTTCAAGTCTTTAATCCACTTTGAGTTAATTTTTGGGCATGGTGTGAGGTGGGTCCAGTTTCATTCCTTTGCGTGTGGCTGTCCAGTTTTCCTAGCACTATTTACTGAAGAGACCATCCTTTCCCTGTTTATTCTTGGCTTCTTTGTCATAAGTTAATCGGCCATATATGTGTGGGTTTATTTCTGCATTCTCCGTTCTGTTTCACTGATATGTGTGTCTGTTTTCATGCCAGTATCAATATTTTGATTACTATAGCTTTATGATATAGTTTGAAATGAGGGAGTGATACCTTCAACTTTGTTCTTTCTCAAAATTACTTTGGCTATTCAACATCGTGTATGGTTCCATACAGACTGTAGGATTACTTGTTCTGTTTCTGCAAAAAACCCCATTGGAATTTTGGTAGGGATTACATTGAATCTGTTCATTTGTGCAGTATGGACATTTTAACAATATTCTTCCAATCCAGAAATATCTTCATTTGTGTCCTCTAATTCTTTCATTAATATCATATAGTTTTCAGTGCACAGGTTTTTCACCTCCTTGGTTAAATTTATTCCTAGGTATTTTATTCTTGTTGATGCGATTGTAAAAGATTGTTTTCTTAATTTCTCTTTCTGATAGTTTGGTATTCATACATGGAAACAACAGATTTTTGTATACTGATTTTGTTATTTTGCAACTTTACTGAATATGTTTATTCTAACAGTTTTTGGATGGAGTTTTATGTATATAATCTCATGTCATCTGCAAAAAAAATGACAGTTTTACTTTGTGATTTAGATGCCTTTTCTCTTTCTCATGTAATTGCTCTGGCTAGAACTTCCAGCACTACGCTGGATGAAAGTGGCAGCAGTTGGCATCCATGTCTTGTCCTTGATCTTAAAGAGAAAGCTTTCAGCTTTGCACTGTTGAGTGACGTAAACTGTGAGCTTATCACATATGGTCTTTATTATGTTGAAATGTGTTCCCTGTATACCCACCTTGTTGAGAATTTTATCACAAATAGAGGTCGAATTTTGTCAAATGTTTTCTGTATCTTTTGAGACGGTTATATGAATTTTGGCCTTCATTTTGTTAGTGTGGTGTATCACGTCGAACCAGCGTTGCATCCCTGGAATCCTTGATCATGGTGCGTGATTCTTTAAATGTGGTGTTGACTCTCTCCTTGTCTTTATCTTTTGACACATTAATTAATGATGTATCTTGTGAGTCTTTAGATTTATTGTATTTCGAATTCCCTAGGTTTCCTGGATGTAGGTGTCTGTTTTCATCTCCACAAAGGGAAGTTTTCAGCCATTTCTTCATATAAACTTTCTGCCCCTTACTCTCTTCTCCTTCTGGAATTCCATAATACAAATATTGGTGGGCTTGATGTCACTTTTTTCTTTTGCTGCTGTGATTGGATGCATTGCCCCGTCTTCAAGTTCACTGGTCTTTTTCTCCACTTTATTTAATCTGCCGTTGAACCTTTCTGTTGTATTTTTCAGTTAGGTAATTGTTCAGCTGCGTGACTTTTGTTTGGTACTTTCTAATATTTTCTCTGTGTTAAAATTCTCACTTCGTTCACCCATTCTTCTCCCGAGCTCAGTGACCATCTTTATGGCCATTATTTTAAACTCTTTATCAGGTAAATCACTTTTCTCTATTCCATTAAGGTCATTTTCCTAGGTTTTATCTTGTTCTTTCTTTTGGAGCATTATTCTCTGTCTTTATTTGGGGAGGGGAGCTTTTTGCGTTGGTTTCTCTGCACTAGATAAAATAGGCACCTCTCACAGTCTTGAAGGAGCGGTTTGGTATAGGAGGTGAGACTTAACTGGTCAGCCCTTTCCTGGCTCTTGGTTGTCGTCAAGCCTTTGTGGTAGTTCAGGCAGTCTACTTTATTCCTAGTGGCTCCCAGCAGTGCCAAGGTTTGTCACTGTCCCAAAGCGGGGCATTTTAGTCATCACCTGGATTCAGGCTGATTTGAAGCCAGACCCTCAAGCAGCAGCTTTTAAACACGAAAATAAGCCTCTTTCAGGGGAAGCTAGAGAGGGTGTTTCTGTCTGCACCCTCTGCACTGAGCTCTGGGGTGATATCCAGTTACGACCAGTTTCTTTGTTTGCTACTGTTTCTCTGAACCATGAACACAGCCTTGCTGGCCCCCAGAGCCAGGCCGTCAGGGGATGCGTCCTCGGAGTGGCAGCCACCAAAGTGGGGAGCCAGACGTTTACACAGACTCCTTTCTCAGACACAGCTTGGGGCGCGGCAGGGGTAGAGCCTGAACCTAGCACCTGCCGGCCCTCCCGGACTGTGGGAGAGACTGTGGTTGACCACTAGCTGTGTTTATTAGACTCCTGCCCCTCGGGCGTAGCTGTGAGGGTGAGCTAATCGGCCTGTCTGGCAGCAAGGCCGGAGGTGTGTGGCGGTCTGCTGTCCCTCTGCTGTCCCTCTGTGGTGCTGGTGGGTGGATGAGTCTGCAGTGTCTTTTTAGAACTGCTCTGTGTGCTGTCACCCATGGGTCTTGTGGATGCAGACCTCGTTGGCTTTCTAAGCAGGTTGTTTGCGGGGCTCGTCTCAGGTGCAAGCCTTAAAATTTGGGGTGCCTTGTGTGGGGTTCAAACCCATCGCTCCTCAGGGAGAAAATTGGGGTTGTGAGTTCTCTCCTGATTGGGGGTTGCTGTGGAGTCTGTAGAGAGTGTGTCTCAGGCCCTCCTACCCGTTTCTCTTGGATTTTTTCCTCATTTACTTGGTGTATAGGAGTCACTCAGCTATTTGGGGGTTTCTTTCAGAGGGCATTGTTCTGTTTATAGCTGTAGATTTGATGTGTCCTTTGGGAGGAGGCGTTTTAGGGACACCCTGCCCCCCATGGCCATCATGAATGGGAACCTGTTGGGGGCCGTTTTTGAGGTTCCTGCCACAACCAGATTCAGAAAACTTTGTAAATTATGTGTATTTCTGAGATTCTAAAGTTATAGGAAACCATGAAACAGTTTAAACAGGGATGTTTATTTGATTGGTTTGCATTAACAAATAATTTTGTGCGGTGTCAAGAATGGGTAGGCTAGAGTGGGTGCTGGAGACCAGATCAGAGGTCATTGCTGCAAGCCAGGTGAGAACTGGTGGTGTGGACTTCACTGATGAAGTAGCCTTGGGGACAGTGGCTGCCTTCACAGCTTCCAGGTGGACTGAGCAGACTTGACAGCTGAGCTTTGGGAGTTCATGGAAGGAGCCGAGGAGGAGGCTCAGGGTTCTGGCCAGAGCAGCATGTGGGTGGCCACGCTGTTTCCTGGGGTAGGCCTCTAGACAGCGATGTGGGGGTTCGAGGAGGAGATGAATCACGTTTTAAGCTAATTAAGGGGACTGACGAGATGTGCAAGTTGACGCAGAATAGACAGTTTGCTAGGTCCGGGCTGGAGGTGAAGATTTGGGAGCCGTTAGCGTGGCCGTAAGTAGTGTGGGGGTGAGGGGGTCGACAGTGTTCGTAGTAAGACCGGAGGAGGCCTCATACCCACCATGGAGGGAACCCCGCATTTAAGAAGAGGAGGAGCCGACAGGAAGTTAGGGAAACCGAGAGGTGGTGGTGACACCTTCCTTTTTATCTAGTGACGAGTTTGTATTTTTGAATTCTTTATAGCTTGAAGTTAGTATAATTAATGTTGAATAAAAGATCTAAGAGATCGCTTGCTTTTGTTGTGCAGCAAACATTTTTTGAGAATTCATCACATGAAAGGCGTTGTGAAGGGCATGGGAGGCACGAGGTGAGATGGCAGATCCTGGTTGTCTCAGACAGTCTCGCACGTTGTCAGTATTTTCGAGGCGTCACTGAGTCCTGATTCTTTTCATTGATTTTATTTTTTTAATTCCAGAAACATGATTTTTATCTCCTTTCCCAGAGATGAACAGAGAGACCCTTCACATTAACCAAACTGATGTGAGTCCAACTGGTAAACCGTTCTTTATCAGTTTACAGTAAGAATTATAAATGTCAGGTGCCCACTGCATTTTCTCCCCTCTAAGAAGGCCAGTGTTTGTTGAGCATGAGGTCAGCGGAGGGAGGTTGAATGCTCAAGCTGTAATTAATCGTGTGTACAACTTTCCTGCTGTGTGGTTGGTGTACCTGCCAGAGGAGCGAGGAGACTTACTGATAAAACTTAGTCTCTTCCGTTTTTTCTGGGTGCCAACAGCAATACACACCCCTCCGCACACACCCATATCCTCTGCCCCTACCCCACCTTGCTTCTCTTTGGTAAATACAAGTAAACTCAGGAAATTAAGTGTTACAAATGAGATTACGTCAAATTTAGTTTTACTGCTTTGCTGTTGATTTATTTTGAATCCACTTGGGTTCAATATGCTCATGCTCAAGGAGGTAAATAAAGCACTTAGCAAGCTGGAATATGTCGGATTCCTCCTTCCCACTCTAGACACTTACTAGAAGTTGAAATGTGGATTGGGTGTGGGTGGGAAGAGAAAAAGTCAAGAGTGACCCCAAGGGAGTGGGGGGGGGTGTGTCTGTGTGTCTGTGTCTGGGTGTTTAACCTGCACAACCAGAAGCAGCGAGTCACCGTTTACCAAGGGAAAACGGGATTCGAGGGAGGCAGTAGCTGTTCTGGCCGATGCCCCCGTGCTACCTGGTGTACTTCCTGTGGAGACATGTCGATTAGGCAGCTGGATTTGGGATTCTGAAATGCAGAGGTGATGTGGGCCTTAGATTACATGTGCTTGTTTTTGGCATGCCGGTGGTATTGAAAGTCATGAAATGAAATGAGATCACTAAATTGATACAGATAAAGAAAAGGTCTGGGACTGAGCCCAGGACACACTGGGACAGTGAGAGGTTGGAGATGAGGAACCAACAAAACAAAAGGAACAGTGGTTGAAACAGGAAATTCAAGAGAGAAGTATTTCAAAAGCCGGGGGAAATGTTTCAAGAAAGAGAGAACAGAGCAGCTGCTGAAGGAAAAGGCTGAGTGGCTTACAAAGAGGCACGAGGAGATCGAGGGGCGACGGATGTCTGTCATCTTCAGTGTGCTCATGGTGACGGTTTTATGGGCTTACGCGCATATCTCATTGTACAAATGTATGTGCGGTTTATTGTGTGTCACATAGCTCAGTAAAGCTGTTTGTAAACAATTAAATCTCCATTCGTGATTTTTTAAAAAAAAGGAGTGATCAGCTGTAAAATGCTGTTGATAGGTCAAGTAAGATGAGAATTCAGAATGACCGTAAGAAATAGCAGCCTCCTTTGTGACCTGAACTAGAACATTCTCAGTGGAGTCGTGGGAATAAAAGTGTGATTTGTGTCGAGTGAAGGGAGAATGGGAAGAGGAAGTGGAAATAGAGTACAGACAAGTTTGGAAGAGTTTTGCTGAAAAGAGAAGTTGGAAAATGAGACTGAAGGGAGAGGTGGAGTCACGAGGGCTTTTGTTTTTTGCTTTTAAGAAAGTAAAGGTCACAGCTGATAAAGATAATTGTATAGCTCGTTTTCAGACTGATGGGGATGAGTCAGCAGAAAGAGAAAACGTGCTCCGTGAAAGAAAAATTGTCATGGGTAAAGGGAGGTGAGACCCATGCACTCCTCTGCCATTGGCCTTGAGAATTCTGGCCATAATTATGACAGTTTCTAAACCTGATTGTTTTATTGAGAACTTATGGGTTTTCTGAATCTCTTGAAGATATCTTCACTTAAAGCCATGTACATTTTTTATGTGTTATTACCACATTTGATATTTTTCAATTTGTCTTTTTTTTTTCCTTTTTCATTTTGTCTTTTCTTAAAATCGATTTTTATATGTTGGTGTCTCAGTGTTTATACAATTATAATACCTGTGCCTTCTCAAATACAATATAGATCCAGCACTTATCAGCACGACTGTGATTTTTAGATAAGCTACCACCCTTAACCATTACTATGAATATTTTCTTAAGAGAATATGCAATCTCTTTAAAGTAATAATGAGAAATAATTTTACTAAATTTGATGAAGTAAATTCTGAGATTCCAGTATTCTTGGAATCGATCGCTGTGAGGGTGGGAGAAACGTGACATAATTTTGTTTGATTTAGCAGTCACTTCAGATTTTCTGTTTAACTCTGCCCGTAATTGTTTCCACAGGTGATGGGAAACCCAGGAGCCTTTAAAAGAAGCCTCATATTCTCAGCCTTGTCTTATTTGGGTTTTGAGACTTATCAAGTCATCTCTCGGACTGCTGTGGTTCATGCCACAGCCAAAGGTGAGTCTGAGCTAAACATCAGGAACACTTAGCGATTTGTGTGTGTTATGTTTTTGTTAATAACGTACAGTTATTTTGGATAAGTATTGAAACTGACATTGGCGTAGGCTAGATTATTTTCTGCTTTTCTTTACTCGTCATTCTGATATATATTCTAACACCTAGAGCTCCTTCAATGAGAAGTGCTCTTGATACTTTATAGTTTTATAGGGCCCTTAGGCTAAGAACATTTGTTTCATTTTTAAAGGGATTTGGGGTGGGAGGCGGGAAGAATGTACCACAGAGACCAGATCTGGCCCAGAAAGTCCAAATATTTACTCTCCGGATCTTTACAGAAAAAGTTTGCTAATCCCAGCTTGACAAAGATACAGTGATTCTTTTGTTTCCTTGTTACACTCCTCTCGATGTAGTTCAGACAGGCTCAGTTACTTTACAAACAATGCAGTTTGGTACTAAGTATCAAATAACTGGTTGACAAGTAGAATATTACATAAATTTCTTATCTGGTATACTATAGTTAAATAAACATCAATACTTGCCATATTTTAAAAGTTAAATTTAATCAAACCAGTTGTATATGTAGACTAGCCAAAATTTCAGTATATTAGAGAAAAAGTTTTATGAGTTAAGCCTTTTTGTTTTTCACAATCCTCGCTTTCTAATCATCAAGAAGGTGGTTGAGGAGAGAAGCAAAGATTTGATTTTGAATAGATGTTCTTATTACAAATCTGATAGTTGAGGAATTTGAGAATATTATCTAAAAATTACTAGTTATTTCCTGATTTTATTTATCTTTGACTATTCTTTTAAAAAGTAGATAATTGAGAATGTGTTCTTTTTTGTAACGTATCATTTTCATGGACGAAATACGAACTTGGTTTTGTCACTGGGTCAGTGTTTTGGCAAATACAAGAACTCAGCTTTTTAAAACTTCCTAGACTTTTCACCATAACTTCACTATTCACAGCAAGTTTGTAAAGTAGTTAGGACAGGCTGTATTATCACATTATAATATTAATTTTTTAAAAACATCTTTGAGATGTGCCTAGTGGTTGCACATTTAAGATTTTTCTGTGTGTGTATGCTTCACTATAATACTAATTTTTGAAAAGACGCTCACCAGCTTAAATTTCCTCCAAGCGGAGCTGTCAGAGCAGAGGTTAGAATGCTTACCCCGCTCTTTTTGCGTCTGTCACGCTTAGTTTGTGCACTTTAGCACCATTTCGTTGCGAAAAGGAGTGCAGAGCGCCATCGCCTCCCTGAGCGACGCAGTGCAGCGCTTCGAAGGGGAAACCGAAGTTACTTTTACCCTTCGTGATCATGGCGCATTTTCTCAGAAGCGTCTTTGATGACATAAATGACTGCGTATCCAATAACCTGAAAATAACACTGTAAGGTGCTAGCACCTTGTGGCCTCCTGAGCTGGGCATGGCCTTGCACAGCCCTCCAATTTTTTCTTTTTTAATTTGGCACACAGGTGCTGGGTGTTATTTTCTACAGTTCCTAAGTGATTGCATCAAAGATGTGTTCGGGACCTCTGATGTACCAGTACTTGCCTTATGTACATATGTAGTTGTCACTTGGCCCAAAAGTGTGTATGGTATGTGCGTTTGTGTTATAGAAATTCAGATTCTTTTTATCCAGTACATGCTAATTCTTTCATTTTGCTGGCTTGTATCTCTGTTCGTGTATGTGCTATTCAAAAGAAGTCATAACTTTTTCTACAATGTGAAAAAAATATGTACATGCAGAATTAATTCTAAATGTTAATTCCAATCCTAACACCTTGAAATAAAACCTTGAAAAAAAATAACATTTTAATATTTCAAAATGTAACTTATTCCGAAAACTAAATTTACTGTTTTTATTCTAGATTTTAATGAAAATTGCCTTATAGTTTTGAATCCTTTATTTTCAAGTGCATTTTGAGTACTTAAGACGTTAATGGAAAGAACAGAGCATGGATGGTTGTTTACCTTTTCTTGATTTCTTTCCCTTTGTTTTCTTAAACAAAACCTCACGTTATAATTACTTGATTGGCATGTTTACATAATTTATTTGTGAGACTAGGCCATAGCCCTTGGAAAAACATCAACTATTGATAAAATATAGAAACCATTTTTTATAACTTAGAAAATAGTCCATGTTCTTGTGGAAACAGAACTCCATTGGCCCTCGCTAGTGTCACTTTGTCATACATCTCCCTTTGCCGTGATCCTTATTTTCCGTATTTTTAGGAATTGGTCTTCAAATAATTCCACTCATCAAAACTGCTTAATTCTTTTTGGATCTGCTTCATGCTCACTGAAGCCGATTAAAAATATTTTTTCTTCTCCATTTACAGAGATCAAATCATATTCTGAAGTGAGACTTTTTTAGAAATGAATCCAAGGGCGTACATATTTTTCACATCCCAGTTGGGTGGGATCATGGGACTCATTTTTTAAATGATAATGTCTGTATTCACAGGATCGTGCTAGATACCTACTTGTCAGCAGTGATTTAAGCACTCCAGTAGAAAGTTTTTCATTATTTCCTTAAAATAAGCAAAATTTAAAGTCCTTCAAGGTACATTCACAGTGCTCTCACGTGTGTGTGTGTGTGTGTGAGTGAGAGAGAGAGAGGGGTGACTTGTCAGATGCTTAAAAGGCAGTGATGACACACAGCTCGGTGCACATGGCCTTCATGTCATCCCTTCCGTTGTCTTTTTTCCTGTCCTGGTACTGACGTCTCTTTCCCGATGAACCTGTAGACTGAGGTCCCTCCTCCTGCACACAGGCTTTGTTGGGCCACTTGCAGGCACGTGTGGAGACACCACTTCCAGGACTGGGTCTTGTTGGCGTGAACGTTTGCCTTAAATTTTATGATGTTGCTCTGCTTAGAGCCTTCTCATGTCTAGAAAAATCTCGGAGTGTCTAGAAAATCTAGATATTCATGTTTTGCTTTGTAAATCTTCTGTGGAGAGACGTCAGAAATAGAGTTGTTGTACTGGCTTAGAGGAGAGTATTTTGTTCCCGTCCAGAAGCCTCACACGGCTAAGCACACTCGGCAAAGAAACTAGAAAATCAGAGTTCACGTATACACACAGCACGTCACATCATTCACTTTGTTTTTCCACTTTTTTTTTTTTTTTTGATTCTAATAATTATGCTCTTGTGCATATTCATTTTAGGCCGAATTTAAAAATTCACTCTACAGTTGTAGGTGAATTAGTTTCTCAGTTCATCCATTACTTAAGTTGAAAAGTAATGTACTTTAAAAGTTTAGTCCATTTTATAGACTATATTCTTTATGTCAGTAACAGCTTATTTTTAAATATTTTCAGGAAAAATGCAGAGTATTAAACAAGTAAAACACAGCTGATTGGGTCTCCATGCTCCCACCCTAGTGCCTGTGTGAGTCTGTAGTATCAGAGTAAGTGTGTTTTTTCTTTTAAGTTGCACACTAGATGGTTTTAGAAATTTCTTTTTAGAATCAGGAAAATATGTAAATATGTATATATTTAAAGCCTGTATACTATGGCTTATGGTACTGTACTGTATAATAAAGAAATGGGAGATAAGTGATTTAAGAGGTTAAAAAAGAATAATACACGAAAAAGATTTACGTGATTTTAAATTACTCACTAGATTTCTCCATTTTCTTTAGTGACACGGGCGATGAGATGTAGAGTCTCAGGTGGTGTAAGGACAGTAATCTCTGTCACTGTCCTCAGGGAGTTGGAGGGAGGATGTGAATAGAATTAAATGTAACTTTGCTGCCTACGCAGACACACATTTAGACACGCCACATCGATACATCTAGTCTAATGTTCTGTGAGCTTTCCGCCACCCCTGTAACACATTACCGCAAATTGAGTGACTTAAAACAACACATTTCTTACCTCCCAGGTCGTGGTTCAGAAGTCCAGGCCCGCTCTCACCAGCTTGAATCCAGGAGGGGCGGGGCTGAGCTCCTTTCTGGGGGGGCGGGGGTGGG